TAATGGTGTTTGTAAATAGGATCTCAAGTCCGCATCTTGTACAGCAATTAACCACTAAGAAGAATATATGCAGTATATTATTTGTTGAAACTGTACTTCCGATTTGATTTGAAACTGTCTCATTGCTATCTGTTTATCAATAAAATTTTGAAAAAAAAATATAGTACATGACTACTTACTACTTGAAAGAATCTCATGGTGTATTAATTTTCTGTTGCTGTTGTAGCAAAAGCTCAGTGCTATTCTCTCACAGCTCTGGAGGTTAGAGGTCTAACACAAGTCTCATTGGGTTAAAATCAAGTGTAAGCCTATTTGCATACTGTTTGGATGTTAGAATCTGTTTCTTTAACTTTTCTGGGCTTCTGAGGCTGCCCGTACACCTTGGTTTATGGTCCCCTTCTGCACCATCAAGGTTGGCAAGGTTGGGCAGCATACTCAAAAGACATCTCTCTGACCTTCTCTTTAGCTTCTCTCTTCTACTTAGAAGTAGCCTTGTAATTATACTGTTTCTACCTGGATAATTCAGGCTAAAGCCTTATTTTAAGGTCAGTTGATTAGAAATCTTAGTGCTACCTGCAACTCTAATTTCCTTCTGCTATACAACACTGCTGTATTCACAGGCTCTGGGGACTAGGGCACAGACATCTTTGTGGGCCAGTACTCTGCCTCACACAAAGTAAATTTCATTACAAAATATAAAAATTCTGACAAAGTGTATAATTGTCCTATGGTTTTTAATATGCATTTGTCAGTTACAATAGGGTACATGCAGACCATCTATCACTCACCAACTGCATATCTGAACACTTGTCCCATCTCCCTAACCATTCACTGTTCCCGCTTGTGAAGGGCAACCTTTTAGCCTCATCCAACCACCTTCTGTTCACCCCATGATGTCGTCTCACGTAACCACGCACTTATGATTTGGTGTGGTGCTGTGCATGTTGACCTATTCCTCAGTGTGCTTAGGCCCTGTGCAGTAAGCAATGGTTAGGTGTAATACAATAGTGCATTGTATGTGCAAGACAAGTGTGGCAGGAGGATATGCATGCACATCTTATGAGTCAACATGCTTTTACATGTGCTCCTCCTTACCACTGTGCTCTGCAGCTCAGGCCTTCCCTTATCACTTCCCCTGTAGACTGGCTCCACAATCTCCTCTTTGCTTCCCTGGTGTTACTTAAACCTTGCTCCTGCTCTTCTTGCACCCTGGTCCAAATCAGTTTCCATTCTTTCACTCCTCTGCTCAGAGACCCATAGTAGATTCCCGCTGTCCTTCCACGTTGAATCCAAATGCCTTGGACTGGCTTTTGAGGCTTTTAACCACCCTGCTCTGCCCACTCCCATTCTCTCCGATCCCTTTTCTCAACATATTCCTTTCCAGCCAAGCAACTGGGTTTATCAATCTGTGCATATGGCTTGCTTATTTCCCTGCGTGCTCCTTGTCTCTGAACACACCTCACTTCTCTTTGCTAATTCATACCTATCACCTCAAGATCCAGCTTAAAACACCCTCTTGTAGGAAACCAGTCTGGTTAACTCCTTCCTGTTCTTTTAGTCCATGTCCCATGCCACACTCACTAAGTTACCTGGACCGGCTTCCTGTCTTAACATCCTCTTGCCTCAGCCTCCTAAGTAGCTGAGATTACAGGCATGTACCACCATACCTGACTTTCATTTAATTTAATTAGAAAACTACCTTTTGAAATAGGTGCTCCATTTTGTAGTTGAGAGAATCAAAAAGGTCCAGAGGTTAAGAGTTTCTGAAGGCTATACAACCAGGAAAGAGAAGAGCTGGGATTTGAACCTGATTTGTGTCTTATTCCAAAGTTCTATACAGGGCCAATGAGATGGCTCAGTAGAATAAGTGCAAGGGCCTGAGTTCAATTCCCGGTTCCACCAAAAGAACAAGCAAATCAATCTGAAGAATTGCAATAACAGAAAATTGTTCAGAACCCAAAGCTCTATACATGTCCCAAAGTTGTGTTTCTAAAGGATGTCATGAATCTTCCTAAGTATAAACTCCCCAATAAGAGTACAACTTCTCAAGCTGGGCACAGAGCTCAGTAGTAGGGTAGTGCCTAGCATGCACGAGGCTCCAGGGTTCCACTCCTAGCAGCTAAAAGAAAATGGGGTTGTATAGGAGCATTGATACCCACAACTGTGGTTGAAGCACTTCTACAAATAATACCACCCATCCCTGCTACACCTGTTTCCTCCCAGACCTCTGGGCATACAGGTCTCAAACCCATGTACTCTTTAACTGATTTCACTACAATAACACCTAAGAAACTGAAAAAAAAGAAATCTTGCTGACCACCCAGGCTGCACCTTTGATCAATGAAATCATTTCTGGAAGTAGTACCCAGGCTTCTGTATGTTTTAAAATCTCAAGGCAATTCTCTTGTGCAGCCACCACGGAAAATCACTAGTAGAACATGAGAAGCAGACTAAGTTGGAAAACTTTCTCCTTTTTCAAGTCCTTTCATTTCTCGGGATGCCACACCTTCCCTGCAGACCCTGCCTTTCCTTCCTGCTGTCCACTGTGCTTTTTACCTAGCAACATCTGAGGAGGGCAGCAGCCATTGGTTGAGGAAGAGGTCACAAGCCAATTAAACATCAGCACTGGTGAGTTCTTAAACCAATGGGAATCACAGGTGGAAAATTAACATATTAAAGCTTCCTGAGTTTTACAAAGACCAAACTAAAGTAAATTTGCTCTTTTAGAAACAGCAAACACTTCACCTCTTAATCCGCTAAGGACACATTTCCCTGGAAAATCCTTTAAGAAGGGAAAATTGCCCCTCCGCTAAGTGTCTCAGCCAGCTGGCAGGCAGGGCACCCTCCACCCCAAGCTGGTCACCGGATTCAAACCCGAGAGCTCTGAAGAGGGTGGTGGACTGCCACTGCCAGGGTCAGCACACTGGATGACAGCTGCTTGCCAAGGCCCTGATTTGTGGCAAGGATTCGAGGTTCTGGAAGTGCCAGGCTCTGGGTGGTGAAATACGGATGTAACTGCCGGCTTTCCCTTCCCCCGGGCCCCTAGCCTCTGCCCACGTGCTTAGACACCCCTCTCTTCCGTGATTCAAAATGGGTGCTTCCCAACTGGTGTGCCTAAGGAATGAAGCAAGATGAGCCAAAATATTCATTTCATCAGCTTCTGACAAAGCCAGGAGGGCCTGGGGTGGCTAGAGTCTCTGTGGCCCTTCTGTTTAGCTCAAAGTTCCATGCAAATATGATTTTTCTATGTGGGCTGCAACCTGAAAATGATTCGGAAGTAATGGCTGAGGGGTGGCGAGGATTGCTTCAACTTCTCTCCCTGTGGAGAACTGATTGGGGTTGACATGACTTCCTAGCCTCAGAAAAGAAAGAAAGATGAAGTCAAGGTGGCCCACGGTCAGAATCACTCCACTCACTAAGCCTCACTCCACAAACTCAAGCTGTCTTTCTGAAGTTGACTTCTTGCTCCATCCCAAGGCCTGTGCCTGGAGAGAAGCAGTTCCTCAAGGCAGGGCTTACCTTGGCGTCCATGATGCTGGTCTCCACACGGGCCACACTCTGGTTCTCCCGGAACAGCTGGATCTTGCTGATCTTGCTGAACTCGGACAGCACAGTGGTGAGATTGGTTTTGAGATCAATAACATGGCTGATGCCATGACGGGGTCCCACCAGGAGAGTGGTGGCTGACTGCTTTTCATCCTGGTCCCCAAGCAGGGCAAGCAGCATTCACAGAGAGGAGGGGGAGGAGGTGGGGATAGGAGACAGGAAGAGGGAAATAGAGAATATCCATTGGACCAGTTCTTCAAGGTTTGGGGCAATGGAAATATCTGGGTCTCAGTGGCAGGGCCAGAGGCCAAGCTTGAGGGCAAAATGGGCTGGAACCACTCTGTTCCAAGTTAGGGCCCCAGACCATTGATCTACCAATACAGGCCCAGCAGCAGTTAAATGGGCAGTAGCAAGCCAGCTCTAAGAGTACAATAAAGTACGTGAGGATCCTTTTGCTGCCTTTGGAGAGCCTTGCCCTAGCAAACCTAGGTTGCTGCAGTGCATTCAAGGTGGCTGTGCAGTGCTCTGCCAGACCAGGCAGCATGTGGTCTGGTCTTTATTCCCTACCCCCACCCCATAGCTACTCAGACTTGCACTTATCCGATGCCAAAAGCTATTCTGACAAAATAACTCTGCCTATGGTGTTAAGGGTTGATTGGGTACTTAATGGAGATCTCCTCCTTAAGAGGATTTTTACCTTTTAATAAACATTCCAGCAGTCTTAACCCAAAAGAATGGCCAAGCGGAATTGCAGCAGTGGCAAGTGGATGGAAGAGAGGGCTTGAGGGGTGTAGGCAGAGGACAGCTTTTGGTGTTTTGCGAATACCAGTATGTAAATGACTGCCTCTAGTTCTGCTGGACTGCATTTCCTTAAACCATCCTGACAGACTCCTTGGAGGCGTCAAGCTTGAAGCCTCAAGGGGGCCCATTTCCTACCATTAGCATCACCCCCAGGAACTTCTTGTGTTTGCCTCTAGGTACTTTGATAAGTGGCTTTCCTTTAGTGCACCCTGCCAGCATGACAGTGTGCTCCCTAGAGCACGACAAGTACCTGGAGCTAATCAGCAAGATGATTTGAATTTCCTTTCACCAGGGTCAATCAGCCTGGGGCACAGTATTCCGAAGGCTGCTTTGGCTTGCCTCAGACAACTGCTGTTGCAGGGGAGGCCAAGGGTGGCCGGGTGTAGCATGAAAACTCCTGAAACCTGGGCTACGGGGCTGCAGAAGTGAGTGTGTGTGAGGGCAGTGAAATGGAGCAGGGATTGGCAAGCTATGGCCCTGGGGCCAAATCCAACCCACCACCTGTTTTTGTATGGCTCAAGAGCTAAGAATGTTTTTCCTTTTTTTTTTACATTTTTAAATGGTTGGAGAGAAATCAAAAGAGCCATATATTGTGGCATGTGCAAATTATATGAAATTCAAATTTCTGTATCCCTGAATAGTTGCTGGCACACTGCAAAGCCTGTTTGTTAATGCATTGTCTCCGCTCGCTTTCCCACTAAGTAATGCAGGGCTGAGTAGCTGCCACAGAGATCTGTTTGGCCCACCTGCAAAAGCTTAAAATGTTTATTATATGGCTCTTTACAGAGAAAGTTTGCCAACCACTGAAGTAGATGAAGGGGGACACAAAAGGGTTTTATAAAAGCGTACTGAAAACAAATATAGCTGGCCGTCAGAAGTCATGAGAGAGTTGTTCTGGGACCCACTTGCAAAAGTGGTACCTACAAAATCCAGGTACTCCTGTCCCTTATATAAAATGGTATAACATTTGAGTCACCAGTGTGCATCCTCCATATATTTTGTTTCTTTATTTGCAGTACTGGAATTGAACCCATGGCCTTGGTGCTGCTAGGCTGGCAGTCTACCACAGAGCTACATTCCCTAAAGAAGGTCTCACTAAGGTGCCCATGTTCTGGAACTTGTGATCCTCTTGCCTCAGCTTCCTAAATACCCTAGATTACAAGTGGGTACCACCAGGCCAGCTGTTTCACATACATTTGAAATCATCTCTAGATTACTTATAATACCTAATACAATGTAAATGCTGTGTAAATAGTTGTTCTGTTGTATTGCTTGGGGAAGAATGACAAGAAAAAGCTCTGTACAGTTCAAATTGCCATGATATTTTCTTTGAATGTTTTTGATCCACAGTTGGCTGAATCCATGGAGTATGAACCCTAGAATACAGAGGGCCAACTGTATTTGCCTCCTTCCAAAGTTAACAAAAGGTTGACTTCCCTCCCCCATCTGCCTCCCACTGCCCCCACTGACCAGGCCCACAGTGTTGAACAAGACGCCTGTGAAGGTCGGAAGTTCATTCAGAATTCGAAGGTACTGGAGCTTTGCCTGGACTGCAGAACCCTGTGAAAACAATCCAGCCCAAAATATGAGAAGCCAAGGGACACAGGAAAACGCAAACCCATGTTCTCAAAGAGGAGTCTCAATATCCTGGAACAGATCTGTGTCATAAAGCTACCCTGTGCGAACCCGCGGAGGGGCTGGGCCAAATGCGGGAAGGTTCCAGTCGGGACAGCTCTCACCTCTAGCGCCCCTCCCTTTCTAAACTCTCCTCCAACCTCCTGATGTGCACTGCTAAGGCAGTCAGAGGACTCTCTTTGTTCATGGGTTAATTCCAAAAAAAGTGTCCCCTAACTCTGACCTAAATTTGTGTTACTCTTGTGATACCTCAGCTCCTTGCTGCTACCCAAACTGCCAGCCATCTTGCAGCTGGTGGGGGAATGTCTCACTCTAAGTCCCAAGGTTGGTCTTCATTGGGCCTTCCTTGTTTCTATCAGCATCTTGGGAACAACTAGTCAGGCACCTAGGGGAGACACTATACTCTTCGTTCCTCCTGTCATCTGACGCCACTAGGCACCCAGTGTTTTTTTTATGGCTGTCTCAGCCTTCCCTAAGGGCGGGGCTGACACAGCATGTGATGCAGGGGATTGAACTTCAGTCCCTGCGCATTTGCCTAAGCTTGCCTAAGCAGGCACTTTAGACCACTGAGCTATCCCCCTGGCCCAGGCACCCAGTTATCTCGGTTCTACACCCTCACTCTCTCCAACCTATTCACTCCTCTTCTTTATCATTGCTTTGGACATTTCCACCTGCGTCAGGGTGATGGCTGAGTTACCATCAGTATTGACATTCCCTTCCCTCAACTGCTTCCATGTACCATTAAAGGAAGCTTCCTAAAACACAGTAAGTTTAATCACACTGGCTTCCTGCTTAAATTCTTTGATGGTTCTCTGCTGCCTACAGGATGAAGTATAACCTATTTCCAGGAAACACAAGGCTGTTCATCAACTGGCTCCTGCCAAGCCAGCCTCTCCTCACCCTGGCCCATTTTCCTGCCCTTTCCCCCATTCCCTTACACATCTCTTGTGTACTTGCATAGTCTAAACTATTTGCATTTCTTTCCTTATACCATGGTCTCTCTTATTTCTGGGCTTTTGTTGCAGATGGATCTCCCTGCTTAAGAAAGTCTTTCTGGGGGGCTGGGGAGATGGCTCAGTGGAATAAGTGCTTCTCTGGCAAGTGCAAAGGCCTGAGTTCAATCCCCGGTTCCGACAAAAAAAAAAGTCTTTCTCCCATGACCCACTCTCATCAACAACTCATCTAGGCAGACTCTTATCTGTCCCTCAAAACCCAGCTCTGGCACCAAAAGCAACAACTTGTGGCCTTTTCCTCCTTTTCAGTGTCCCTCTGATTCCAGAGCACATACGTCTGCAGCACTGTGTTGTGACTTCTTACTCTGTTTTCCCACTAGACTGTGTCAGGGCTTGAGAGCCAAGACTGGGTCTTCATCTTTGTATCTTCAGACACAATGCTGGGTTGCCTCCAAAACAATGTTAGCTGGGGACACAGCAATAAGCACTGTTGTCCTCAGCAAAGAAAGAAAGAATCTGATCAAATATGCACAGCAAGGTGGAAATGGCTTAACTTTCTGAGGAGATTCACATTTTAAAAGAGAAGCTAGTTGGAAATGCAAGAAATCTAGAATGGGTGGAATATATGGGGTGCTGATTGTAGTAGCTTTCATCACTCTTCTGCTTTTTGTGCAAGAGGCACAAGCACAGGGAGCGTTAGAAGCCTAAGAAGGAACTGCAGAGCTAGCGGAGGCAGGAAGAGAGGTCCCTCAGGGGCATGGTGTGTGCCAGTATAGCAGTGGCCTGAGCACTCACACACTTGCCCAGTGACTTCTAATCCAGGTTAGATTTTCGTTATGCACAAACCCATCCTCAGATTAGCATTTTATCTCTCAGAATTCTACATACAGGACTGGGGGACAGAGCAGTTATTTCCATGGAAAGCAGTGCCTGCAAGGTTCAGTGCTTTTTCATGATCAGCACTACTTGCAAAAGGGCCAAGAATGACCTCTGGAATTTGGCCCCCTTATCTTTGAGCACTGGGGGATCTCTTAGTGACATGTCACTGAGCTATTGCTGGCTGGGAGAGGCTCAGGCTGGTGAAACATGCCTCTTGCTAATTGTTCCCATACATGGCCAAGCTGGGTGTGTACCTGAGTCAGAGAGAGTGGTGGGGACCCCAAGAAGAACCACCCAGAAAGCCGCTTAGGCCTCAAGGGCCTGAGTATAGTACCCCATGGCTTCTTCTGGGTACCTTGGTGCCACTAGAAGGATGTGTTTGGTGAGCCTTCAGCTGCTGAGAGAGAGATTTCCGAAGGTTCTTCTCTTTGATGCCTTGCAGGAGGGAGGGAGGAAGAAAGGGTTCCAGGCCCCACTCCTTCCTAGAATCAGAAGAAAAGTAAGAGATTAGTGAGAGAGATAAAGTGCAGCAGCGATAGTAAGATAAGACAGAAACTGACTGGGTCTAAGAGGCAGAGATGGAGGAAGAGAGATTGGAATAAGGATTTTTTTTTGGCTCTGAATGCCTTCAGGGCAGGTTTGGCTGGCTTGAGTTGTGGGGATCAAACCACAGCAACCTGAGCCTGACTGCTTTGTTGAAGCAGCCACTTAAAGAACTAAGCTAAGGGGCAGGCCCCCAGGAAGAGAGATTGGGAGAAAGAAGAAGCAAGGGAGCAAGTGGACACTAGTGACAGTCCCCTAACAGAAGCCATTGCTCTCTAGAGCATCATGATTTAGGTGTGAGGAGCTCTGACTCTTACCCCCATTGCATGCCCTACATTCCTGAAAAGTACAGCAGTGCTTAGCCACTATGACTTCTCCCTACACAGCTATCTGCTCCCATCCCAAAGGGCCCCAGGACAACTCACTCCACATTCTTGAGTGAGATCTTCTGGCTAGGCCGGGTGGCTGAGACTGTGATATAGATGTGGAGGGCAGCCAGGCCCAAAAGCATCTCTGGCTTGGGGTCCATTCCAAAGCGTTCTCGAATAACATCATTCCGACTCTGTGAGAGAGGGCAGCCCAAACCCATCATTAAAGGAGAATTCCCTCTCCCCCCTCACCCGGCCATGTACTCCCTTATATCTCAGAAAAGAATCATGATGTCAGTAAGGTGTGATGGGGGAAGGAGGTGTTGCCCCCGGGGAAGAGCCAACAGAAGGCTTTCAGGTTACAGAAATGCTATTTGCCACACTGGGAGGTACAGGCTAGTCTACTGGTTAGAATATTTCTTCTCAGAGACAAGGGCACTAATGGCAAGGCACAAGTGGGAAACAATTCCGTTCACTGCACAAGTCAGACATGGCATCACCTCCTCCTTTCTTCCTGTTACAGAGAGCCTCCTGTGTTCTCGCAAGGGCCTATATTTACTCCCCTACTCAAACAAGGCTCTTCTACAAGTTCAGATGGGAGCACAGGGAGACACTGGAAGCGATTCTCCACATGGCTCTGACCCAGAACCCCAGGGTGATGGGTGGATTGCAGGGATGTGGTAGATACTCTGTTCTTTGGGGTCTCAAGGACAGAACACCAAGTCATTCTTCCCTATGCTGGCCTAGAGGGCATTCCCTGGAGCTGCTGGCCTAGTAGATGATAATCCCAAACTGTCAAAGCAGATCCCAGCTATGGATGACATCTGCCTCAGAATAGTTGCCTAGTTAGTTGATGGGGAGCCAAGATGGGCTAAGGGACTAGGGAGCCACTGTGGTGTCACTGCAGCATGGGGAAGGGTAGAAAAGAAATACTTTGGCCATCACCATCTATGTAGGAAATCCAATGGAATTCACCAAGCAAAGACAAAATAAAAAACTACTAGAACTAAAAAGTGAATATAGTGAGATTGAAGAAGAAAAGATTACCATATAAAAACCAATTGTATTTATATATGCTAGCCCCAAACATATTGAAAGTGAAATTAAAATTCACAATCCTTAGCTGCACCTTGTGACCAGGTTTGTAATCCCTGTACCCTGGGAGGCTGAGGCAGGAAGATTACAAGTTTGAGTCCATCTTGGGCAACTTTAGTGACTTAGTGAGCTCCTGTCTCAAAATTAAAAATTAGAAAATGACAGCTGTAGATACAGCTCAGTGCAAAGTCCTAGGTTCAATCCTCAGTACCACTATCATCACCACTACCACAACAAAAAAGCAAACCAAAACAACAAGAAATAGCTTATAACGGCATGAAAAATGTGAAACAGGGATAAATCTGACAAAATATGTTAAAGACTTGTACACTGAAAGCTATAAAATGCTACAGGGAAAAATAAAAGGAGATGCAGTTCAATGTAGAAATGCTGTGTTCATGAGTTGGAACACTCGATATTGTTAAGATATCAGTTCTCCTCCAACCAAGCTGTAGATTCACTACAATCCAGTGCAAATCTCACTAGATGTATGTATGTATGTATGTATGTATGTATGTATGTATTTACTTACTTACTTACTTACTTATGGGGATTTTCTTTCTTTCTTTTTTGTTTGTTTGTTTTTGTCTTTTTGAAACAGGGTCTCACTATGCAATTCAGGTTGGCCTTGGGTTCACTTTGTAACCCAGGGTGGTCTTAAACATGAAATGATCCTCTTGTCTCTGGGGTTTCAAACCAGGGCCTTGACACTGAGCTATGCCCCAATCCATAATTAATATATATATATATATATATATTTTTTTTTTTTTTTTGAGAGAGAGACTAAGTTGCCTAGGCTGGGCTCAAATCTGTGATCCTTCTGCTTCAGGCTCCCACAGTGCTTGGATTATACATGACTGTACTGTCAGACTTGGCTCACATTGGGTTTGTAGTAGAAATGACTGATTCTAAAATTCACATGAAAATGAAAAGGACCTACATGAGCTAAAACAACTTTGGAAAGAAAGAACAGAGTTGGATAACAAATACTACTTAATTTTAAGACTTATAGGCTGGCATGATGGCACATGCCTATAGTCCTAGTACTCAGGAAGCTGAGTCAGGAGGGTTGCCATGAGTTCAAGGCTAGTCTGGGTTACATAATGAGTTCAAGGCCACCCTGAAATACACAGTGAAATCCTGTCTAAAAAAGAGAAGAAAAAAAGTATTTATTTTAAAGCTACAGTAACCAAAAGACTGTGATGTTGGGATAAGGATAGATAAATAGAACAATAAAACAAATGGAGAGTTCAGAAATAGAAATAGAGCCACACACACACAGGCAACTGAATTTTTGTGTGTGATACTGGGGATTGAACCCAGGACCTTTGCACTGAGGTATATCCCTAGACCACTGTCATTTTTATTTTGAGACAAGATCTCACTAAATTGCTAAGTTGCCCAGGCTGGGCTTGAATTTGTGATCCCCTTGCCTTAACCTCCCAGAATGCTAGGATTATAGGCATGTACCACAACACCCAGCCTAGACAAGTGATTTTTGACAAATGTACAAAGGCAATTCAGTGGAAAAAAAGACTTTTTTTTTGTCTTTTTGAGACAGGATCTCTCTATGCAGCCCAGGCTGGCCTTGAGATCACATTGTAGAACTTGCAATGATCCTTCTGCTTCAGCCTCCTGAGTGCTGGGATTACAAGCATGCACTACCACATGTGGCTGAAAAAGGACATTCTTTTCAACAAATGGTGTTGGAATAATTGTCTGTCTGTATGCCAACACATGTGCATGTGTATCATGCACACACACATTTTGATGTATATCTTGCACCACATATGAAAATCAATATAGATCATAGACCTAAATGTAAAATCTAAAATAATAAAAATTCTGGGAAAAACAGAAGATCCTTATGACCTTGAGTTAGAAGTAGATTTTTTAGATATGATATCAATAGCACTGTCTATAAAAGAACAAATTAACAAACTGGACTTCATCAGAATTCAAACAACTGCTCTGTGAAAGACACTGTTTATAGACTGCGAAAATCATTACAAATTACATAGCCAACAAATGACTTGTTTCCACAATACATAAAGAACTCTCAAAACCCGATAATAAGAGAACAAACAACCCAATAAAAAAGCAGGCAAATGATTTAGACAGACATTTTACTAAAGAAGATGTACAATAGCAAGTGATCATATGAAAATTTGCTCAACATCATTAGTGAAATGCAAATGGAAACCATAATGCTACTATACACTATTAGAATGATTGAAGTAAACAATATGTAATAGTATCACTAAATGTGGACAAGAATGTGGAGAAACTGGAACTCTCATACATGACTGGTGGGAATGTAAGATGGTACAACCACTTGCAAAATAGTATTGAATTTTCTTTAAAAGAAACTAAAGAAAGATATATCTATTGCATGGTCAAACTATTCCATTACTGGATATTTACCCAAGAGGAAAGAAAACATGTCCATACAAAGACTGTACATGAATGTTCATCATAGAAGCTTTATTTGCAACAGCCAATATCTTGGAGATGCCCCAAATGCCCATCAATAGGTATAATAAATTCTAGTACATCTATACCATGGAATACTGCTTGACAATAAAAACAAATTAATTATTAATACATGCAACATCATGGGCCGATCTCAAAATGATTATGCTGAGCAAAATAAGCCAGACCAAAATAAGTCTGCACACTATATAATTCGATTCATGTAAACTCTAGAAAATAAGAACAAATCTATAGTGACAGAAGGCAGGTTACTGATTGCCTAGTGCTCGGGGGATGAATACAAAGGGGCTGAGTAAACTTTTCAAAATACTGGATATGTTCAATATTTGGACTGTGGTGATAGCTTCACACATACAAAAATATATACTGTACATTGTATTTGATTGTTTGCTGAGACAGGGGACAGGGTCTCACTACACAGCTCTGGCTGACCTTAAACTCACTGTGTAGCCCAGGTTGGCCTGGAACTCAAGGTGATCCTCCTGCCTCAGCCTCCTAAGTACTGGGATTTCAGGTGTGTGCCACCACACCCAGCTGTACTGTACATTTTATATGCGTGTAGTTTTTTGTGTTAGTGAGGCCTCAATAAAACTGTGAAATATAAAAAAGAAGAGATATAGCTGAAGTCCATATTATCACTAAGGGAGGAAAAAGTAGATGTGATCTTGCCACCAAATTCCAAAATGAGGCTAACCACACCACTGAAGCTTGAGTGAGGAAACAGGGCAGGCAAATGAGAACTAAACTTCAAAAATTTATACAGCAACTACACAGTTCACTGCCTCTTAGGGAAAGGACAGGGGGAACTGTAGGTAGGAAAAAGATAGGATGAAGGCCTTACTGAGCTTTATTCAAAATGAGGCAGCTTCCACCAGCCAGACTCTAGCATTTAGAAAGGTAGCTGGACTCTAAGGAGTTACAAAGACAAAGGCAGGTAAACTCAAGCAATTAGAAAGACAATGGCAAAGAACTCAGGACCTGGAAGTTCTCAGGTAGCAAACTAACCTAAGAATGAAAAATATTCCTTTTACTTAATTTTTAAACCTAAACTACTTGTCCTTAAAGCTCCCACCCATAAGATTTGGGGGAATACCAAGAATCAAACTCAGGACCTTGCACTTGCCAAGAAAGTGCTATGCCGTTGAGCTATATACCCAGCTCTCCACCCATAATTTTAACCTCCACCAAGGGCAGGGAAAAGGTCTGTGGCCAGAAGAAATCCAAGGTTACAAGCCAGGGGCCTATGAGGGACAGGAATCTCAATAGAAGGTGCTGCAGACAAGGGAACCACCTGCAATTTATTTGGAGTTCTCCCTACCCAGCTGGAGTAGTTGTCTGTCATCTCTCTCTTCCTCCTTCTCCACCTTCAAGTTAACTGCTTTCTGAATTTTAAACTGTGTTTTCAGTTCTTTACCCACACTGGATTTTAGCTCACCAGAGCTGCGTGCTCCAACAGAGTGGTGGTGTGTTGCACTAGAGCCATCCTTTGCTGTCCACTCCTGGACAGCACAGTGTGGCAGAGTGTGTCATGGTGTACAATGTTACTCTAAAATGTTGGTAAAGAAACTTGGACTGTGAAACGTTTCTACCACTTTGGGCTGTCTGAAAGGCCAGAGAGGACAACCATGGTGTCTCCATAGCATGTTGCCCAGACCACCATCAGAGATAGATGAAGTTTGAGGGCACTTTTCCTCATGAAATGCTGTGTTGTCTTGTGAACACCTAAAACTCAACACATCTCCAAATGAACTCATCTTCTCAACCCCATTCCACTGCTTCTCCCTAATTTGAGGAATGATATCACCTCTACCAGACACTCATAAAGTCAAAGCATATCAATGCTGTTTTTTAAATCTCTCTTGGATCCCACTCTACCCCTCCCTCACATCCTGGATTCTGACTCTCATCATTTGTCCTCTGGATACCTGCCATAGTTCCCTAGCTAGTGTGCTTCCTGGACACTGTGTGACCCTTGAAACTGCTCATCTGACCAGCACATTCTCCTTTTGTCATTTCTGTGCCCTCACCCTCCAGGAGAGTCTCTTTACTTGGGCTGTACATTAACATCACCGGAAGAACTTAGGACATGCCAGTGCTTAGGTCTTCCTTCCACAGATTTTGATTTAATTAGTCATGGGTAGGGTGAATAACATTTTCCAAGGCTTCCCAGGTAATTATTTTTTCTGTATTTAGGACAGGGTCTACAGGTTCTCACTACATAGATTGTACTTATAGTGATTCTCCTGCTTTCAGCCTGCCAAGGGCTGGGATTACAGGCGCGCCACCACGCCCAGTCTCAATCACCACCCCAGGGCACCCTGAGGGTGGGGCCGGCACAGCACACAAGGTTCGAACCAGCTGCTGTGTTCTGCCTAAGCAGGCACTTTAGTCCACTGAGCTATCAGGCTGGCCCTTTCCCAGGTAATTCTAATGTGTGGCTAGGGTTAAAAGCCAGGGTCTTAAAGCAGTTATTTCCAAAGTAGTTTGGATAACAGAATCTTGTGGAGAACTTGTTGAACTATCAGTAGGCTCCACCTCCAGAGTTTCTGATTCAGTAGGACTGGGTTGGGGTTTGAGAATTTGCATCTGTAGCAAGTTCCTGGCTGATGTTCATGCTACCAGTTCAGTGATGAGACTGTAAGAATCAATGCCCAGGGTCAGGTAGATAGCTCAGCATCATAAGCTTTTGCCTGGCAAGCACAAGGTTCCAATTTTGATCCCCAGTACAGAAGAAAAAAGAATCAATGCCCAGCCTTCATAAAACACAGCCTGTGCTTGCCATGCCCTTTATCACCTGTGTCAGGTCTCTCCAATTCATTTAACTCTGCTCCTTACATCACATCCTGTGTTGCAGTCATAAGTAATAAGTTACTCTCAGTTCTCCCATCATGCCACACTGTCTGAAGCCACCATGCCTTAGTAAACACCAAGGCTCCTTGCTTAGAGTATGGCCCTTTCATTCCTTCTCAAAACTCCCATTCATTCTCTTCAGCTAAAAGCATGCATACATCTCTTGCTCTGTGGAGCTGTCATTGTCTTTCTCCCACGCAGAGTTGGCAAACTGCTTCCTGTGTGCCCTTATCGACATTGAACCCTGTTACCAGCCTGTTTATTTATGCGTAGACAAGCTCTGATGCGCCAGGACAATTCTTTCTTTACCTCTGACTGCCAATACCTGGTGTAGGGCCTGGCCCAGAGGCAGTGCTCCATAAATATGTCTAGATGAAGTGAATTTGGAATCACCTCCTTACCGGAGCTAGTAGATATTAGAAATAGAGCCTCTTCTGAAGCTGAAGTGGGCTTGTGAAACCTTAGGATCCTGTGAAGTTTCCACAATTACCAGGTTTATATGTTCCTGAAAACTGATGAGTTCTGTGTGGACAAGTAGGGCTTTGAGCCACAGCCAGCTCAGGTCACCAGGCCAGCCAAATTGGCTATGGATTACAATGGTAGCAGAAAAAGAAAGGTCCTGCAGAGCTACCTGGAAGTTGGAAAAACTTACATAGAGACTTCGTTGCGATGGCAGAGTAGCCTGCTTACTTGTTTGTCCACTGGTCTGTCTGTCTGTCTATCTGTGTATCCCCATGCCAGACTCTACCTGGATGTATAGGTACTCGAAGGCAGCAGGATCCCGACGCAGCAGCTCCACAGGGTCTTTGGGAAAGAAGCTTATTCGGAAGAGGCATTTCATTCCATGATAGTGTGTCCGCTGAACCACCTGAGTCACGGGGATGGGACATGGGAGAGAGACATCTAGAATCAATGGCTGGAGAGGTGGGCAGTCAGCTTGGTGGGTCCTTAAAGTGGGTTTGGGGCAGAAATGTGTTCTTGCTCCCCACTCTGTCTCTCCCCTGACAGATGCATAATCAGTAATGCCTTTTTTTTTTGAGGAACCGGGGATTGAACTCAGGCCCTTGTGTTTGCCAAGCAAGAGCTTATTCTGAGCTGTCTCCCTGGCCCCTAGTAATGCCTTTTTATCCAAGGTTCCATTTTTCTTGGTTTCACTTACCTGTAGCCATCTTGACCTTAAGCTATTTAAATAGAAAATTCCAGAAATAAATCATTTGTGAGATTTATTTATTTATTTTTGGGTACTGGGACTCAAACTCAGAACCTTACAATTTCCAGGCAGGTACTTGTGCCATTGACCTATATCCCTTGCCCTAATTCCTGTGAGTTTTAATTAACTTTTACCATGAACTATTTTTATAGTTGTATCATTGCATTATTAGTTATTGTTAATCTCTTACTATTCCTAACATAAATTAAACTTTATCATAGGTATGAATGTATATGATTCAACAGGATGTATAGGGTCTAGTATGGTCTGCAATTTCAGGCATTCGTTGTGGGTCTTGGACTGTGTACCCTGTGGGCAATGGAGGACTACAGCACCTTAGGGGAATATGATGTGGAGCCAGGTCTTTTCTACCCTTGTGACTCAAAGTGACATATTTTTAAACCACAAACCCAGGATATGACCTATATGGGTCTAAGTGCCAAGACACTGGTGAAGAAGAGAGTGCTCCCTGTGAACTTTTTAGGTTCTTTTTTGCTGTGGAGCTCAGCCTCATAGTGTGCAGAGGGGCTCAATCTAAAGCACCAAAAGTTGCTAATTTGAGGCCAGAATGGAAATTCCATTTAGAGTTATAGATGAAGCAGGTTGGCAATGTACTGGCAATCACTGAAGTAGGGGAAGGGCTGTGTACAATATTCCTTTTACTTTTGTGAAAGTTTGAAAATTTTCATAATAACATTTTAAGTTGGGTGTGATGGCACACACTTGTAATTCTAGCAATTGGGAGGCTGAGGCAGGAAACATCACTGCAAGAGTTTGAGACCAGCTTAGGCCACATAGGGAGTTCAAGGCCAGCCTGAACTACATAGCAAGACCTGGCCTCAAAAAGAAAAGAAAAAGGTCCTAGATCCCATTTGGTATTGAATTATTTTTTCTTTTGGTACCAGGGATTAAACTCAGGACTTTGCACTTGCCAGGCAGGCACTTAAGCCACTGAACTATCTCCCTGATCCCTTAGATCCCATTTGGAAAAGGGACTAATTAAGGGGCCGGGGAGATGGCTCAGTGGAATATGCACTTCCCTGGCAAGCGCAAGGGCCTGAGTTCAATCCCCAGTTCCACAAAAAAAAAAAAAAAAAAAAAGGAACTAATTAGATACAAAGGGCTTCTTGAGGCGTGCAGTGGGGTGGGGCCCTTAAGCCTTCCTCCAAGCAGGATCTTCTCACCAGTGAGCTCTGGCTTACATATGACTGACAGGTGAATTTGAAGATTCTTTCTCTCCAAAAATCCTTTAATTTTTCTGTCTGATTTTTTTTTTTTTTTGAGAAAGGGTCTCACTGTGTAGCTTAGGCTGGCTTTGAGCTCATTGTGTAGCCTAGGTTGGCTTTAAACCTGTACTGGTCCTTTTACCTTGGCCTGTACCACCATGCCTGGCTCAATTTTGGATTTCATTTGGCTTCCATGTAGGCTCGGAAAATGTATTCTTTCCAGCTACCCCTCTTCAACTCTTTCCCACCTTACCTGGGAGTATTGACTGGCCCTGTTTGCCTCTCCGATACTTTTTGGAGCCCCCACCCCACCCCCCACCTGGGGAAATCCTGTCCAACCGTCTTAGCTCTCCCCAGCCTTTTCCCATATGGCATTCTGGGTACTGTGCTATCACTACTCTGTACTCTTTCTGCTAAGCAACCAAGACTAATGGTCTTCCCTCCCTCCTCAGGTCACAAAAGGCATAGCCAAAGGCCCTCTGGAGTTGGGTAGTAACAGCCTCAGGTAAGAAATGTGCCTTTTGGGAGCTGGCTGAGCACATCATCACAAACTTCTCAAATACAAAATGCCTTGGATTCTCTTCTATAGTACCGGCCACATGCAAATCTATGAAGTCAGGATAAAGGAGTTACTTACATAAGCCAGGGGTTGCTTGTCTTGGAGCAGCAGGAACTTGTGATTCTGTTCTGGCCCAGCATACTCGAGGACAAGAGCAAAGTGCTCAATATACCTTAAGGAGAGACGGTCCTGTAATGTCACCATCACATCCTATGGAAGAAAAAGAGCCTTGAATGGTGATGCTCTTGCTCTAAGCTGTTGTCAGCATCAAACACATGGGGGGGTGGGTAGAAACAAAGCACAATGGTCCTATAGAGCAGGCTGAGACACAGTCTAGATGGTGGCCCAGGCCTTGCACTCCAAGATGTGCTGCGCACATGTGTGGGCCCTGGGGAACACCAAAGGTACAGGGGGGTGAAGGCAGCATTCTTGAACTTCACCTGGCAGGCATAGGTACAAGAAAGCTGTGTCTTTTTGTCCTTCCTTCCATTCAATAACTTGTTTCCTGAGTGCCAAGTGCAGTGTTGGTTCTCCCGTGATCTTCTCTCCTAACTCACAATGTCCATTGGGATCTGTCTGTCAACTCTTTACTTAGGAATTAACAAAAGCAAATGCTGCATCTGTATGATTAAAATAGACTATTTCTAGATTCATAATCTAAATCGAATGACTTGATTTACTGGTAAAATGTTCATTTTTGACCATAGCTGGCTTTTATAGACGATCAATTTAGTAACTTGAAAAATGTGTCCATGCAGAGGAACTGTGTCACGTGTCTGGTGTACAGTCATAAATCTGACTACTTCTGGGCTCTGTCTGCTCTGCTGCCCTACTTTTAATACTAGGGTGTCTGGAAACATATTGGTGGGGGCTGCCCAAATGTCAGTTTTGAGACTTCTGCTATTTATTTGCAGTGACTTGGGCATATTCTCTATATTCCAATGTGTGTGTGTGTTCATGGAGTCAGCATCCCCCAGCCCACTCCAAAGCTGTAAAGAAGCAGGCGTGGAAATATAAAGCTCTCTGACAGTTAGAGCTGCCAAAAAGCCCCTCAGTGAACACTGAAAGTTATTTAGCCTTTCGGATGGGAGGTTGGAAATCAGTGGGTACTGGAGAGGAACTCTTTGTGTTCTCCAAGTAGTCACAGATGTGCTGGTTAGTGTCTCTGGAGCTCTCACAGGGACAGAGAAAGTTTTCTTTGCAGTTCAGCTTCATTGGGAGTGCGAACAGCTAAGCTGGTGATTGCAAACTGGTGTTACAAGTGTAATGGCCCCTGTGCCAGGCTGTCAATTCACCCGGGTAGCTCTCTGGGACAAACAGCTTGGCAACCTGTCAAAGTTCCAATAAATAGCCAGTGTACCCTTCCTGAAGTCAGAGTGACATCATGAGTGAGAGGAGCACTGCTGTCCTGCAGAGCTGAGGCTAGATGGATGCCATGAGGGTGCTGATGAGAATATTTGGAGAAGCTTTCAAGGGGAGAGATAGCTACATCTGGAGGAGGCATATTTAGATATTCAGACCAGGTAGCCTGGTTTTGTTTCAAAGCTCTCTTCCATAGCCTGAGAACTTCAGCAGCCAAGAGACTATGGGATGGTCTAAGGAGTGCACTTTGGTTCTAGGTCTTCTTGGAAACTCACGCAGGCCTAACCCTCCCAAAGAAACTCTTGGTTGAACTCCCCATGATGAATATAATCATTATATACAACATACATGTACTAATAAAAACCTTTTGGTTCAGTCAATATGGGTTAGGCACACTGTACTGCAACCAATGCTACTGAAACTCTAGGCAGAGTTATTCTTCATCATTCAGGGATGGCCTCATCCCCTCCAGAACACTCAGCATCTCTCATCTTGAGGTACTAGAAGCCAGTAACACAACAAACCATTGGGATGACCCTAAAGAACCTCAGACAATTGCAAAAGCTCTCTGGGAGTGTGCAGTACCAGCCCTTGTAGAAAACCACTGGCAAGGCCCATTCTGAGTACCTGATAAGTCCTCCTAGCAAGTTTTCTGGCCCAGGGTTTTCTTAGGGTTATCTTATTCCCAGCATGGAAACTTCAGAACATCTGTGGGACAAGGTGCATTTTATGGGTAGGTGTAGCTGCCTAGCAGTTTGGGGAGCATTGGTTGCATTAAAATTTTTTGTTCTGGGGCTTAGCATTCTTTTTCTGGAGAGTCCAGAAAATGTACAAATAGATATTTATGTCCCAGAGCAGATTGAACCTAGGGCTAAATTGGATCATTGCCTCTACTCCTCAGGTCTAAGAAAATCACTAGGCCTTTTTGACGCCTGGCTGAGCTATTAAGAATCACAGTTCAGTACTATAATTGCTCTGCCTATGAAAAGAATAGCCAAAGGGGCTATGGCTGGACTTTTCAAATCTTGGTTGAGTGGATAAGATCTGGTTGTTCTTTAAAGCAAGGCAAGGCTGAACTAGTCTCAAGAGATTGCATATTTGTTTCTATGTGCAAACCTGTGTAGGTGTTACTAATATATTAATGTAAATCCCTCTTTCTTTATAACCAGCTTAGGACATCTTCTAAATGTCCTAGTTCCTGAGTCCTCGAGGACACTATAGCATGTACATAAAGCAATTGACAACCAGACATACATCCATGTGCCCACATGGGCATTCACATATTTTTGCAATTACCAGCACACAGTTAAGCATGCAAATTTCCACCCTCAGCCCCACTGAGGACTGCATTTCTGAAGCCTCAGGAAGCATCTGGAGGGCAGAGGCCACCTTGCTTTGGTAGTGAGCAGCCACATGCATTGTCATGGGATCAAAAGCTGACCTAGGCGAGGAGACTGTGTATGCACCTTAACAGTGGTCCGGCCATCAAAAGTGAATGATTTGATCTGCCCATTTTCTAAGAAAACCTTCAGGACGTTGGGGATGAGGAGGAGGGCTTCCTTCTTCATCATTTTCTGTGAATAGGCAGGGAAAGGAGAGGGCTCATTTAAGGAAGAGGGAAGCCACGGGATGGTGTGACAAGGAAGAGGAAGAAAATGAAGGAGAAAGGGACCCAAAGGGATGGGAGGACAAAGACAGAGGAAAAAGCAGATCAATAATAATGTTATGTGGAGACCAAAACCAAATTCCCCAAGAAGACGCTGGGCCATATGGAAAAATCAATCATTTATTGGACATCACAGCGCACTTGCACTCTACTGTGGCCCTGAATACCACAGCTTTGAGCTGTGCTTGGCCTGTAAGGCCCACTGCATACAACCCAAAGGATCCACAAAACACCCCTTGTCAGTCAACCTCACTCACCTCAGCCTTCCTCCTGATACTTCCCTTTTCATCAGGTCCTTCACAAGTAGAAGCCACTTCCCTGTCTGTCTCTGCTCTGCTATTCCCTCCCCTTCATCACATTCTGACCTTTTTCTTTTTTTTCTCCCTTCCCTTTCCTGCCTCCTCCTTCCTTCCTTCATGAGAATTGAACCCAGGGCCTTCACACTGAGCTATAACTCTATCCCCTTTTTAATTTTTTGAGACAGGATCTAACTCACTAAGCTGTACAGGCTGGACTGAAACTTGTGATCCTCCTGCCTCAGCCAACCTGCAGGCTAGGATTACAGGCATGTGCCTCCGTGCTTAGCTTCCTGGCCCTTTCTGATCTAGCCCATGCTTTCCTCTCTGGACTCATGACTTGCCATTTCTGCTCTTTGCCTCTCTCATATCTCCATATCTCTGTTAATTCTTCATTGTCAGGGACTGTTTCACTCCCCGAAGGACACTCAGCATTTCTGACATTAAATGCCAGTAGCGGGACAAATCATTGGGGTGGCCCAAAGCACCCTCAAATATTTCCAAAAGCTGTTGGAGAGTTGGAAGCCTTGCCACTGAGTGAAAACCACTGGCAAGGCCCATTTCTGAACACCTGCTCACTCTTAGCATACATTTTCCTGGCCCAGTCAGGTGTTTCTTTTTTATAGAATGGCACATGTTAATTTCTCAGTGAAAAATCATTAAGTGAAAATCATTTCTCTCTTTCCCTTCTTGACAAACTTCTATTCATCCTTTAAAAATCAGCTCAAATATGTACTCTGTGAAGCATTGGTCCAGTGGTCTTCCTGTGTTCATGTAGCAATTTATACATACCTCTCTTAATAGTTTCATATTTTCAATGAATATTTATTGCTCCCAAATGGTAAACTCAGAGCACGCCCACCAGGTGTATTCATCTTTATAGTTCCAGCAATAAACAAAGTTCTCAGCACTGTGTAGTTGGTGCCCAATAAGTGGCTACTCAATGAATGAACAATAGGTGGTTAACACATACTTACTTGAATGATTAGACTCATGAGAAGGCTGCCACCATGTCCCTGGGCCAACGTGATCAGTTCTACAGCAATTCATTAAGATTCCTTGATTCAAGACACATTTTTTGAGCCTGTACTTTACACTCAGCATTATGCTAAGCCCCCAGGAGGACTACAGCAAAAATAGACATCTTGAGTCTAGTCTTATAGTGATTTGTTAGTGATCTCTCTCTCTCTCTCTCTCTCTCTCTCTCTCTCTCTCTCTCTCACACACACACACACACGCACACAGAAGCTAAAACAAACCAACTGGCATAAGATGGTTAAAGTTTTCAAGCTAAGGCAAATTGGATTTTGGTTTTTGGAAGAGATGGTAGATGTGGATTATTAAGGAAGACTTTAAAAGAGAACAGTTCAGGTGTAGTGGCTGTCACAGACAAAGCATTCAAACAGAAAGGAACAAGTCCTCCTGTGTTAGTGTGGCTAGCAGAGGTGGGGAGCCAGGAGTCGAGTTTGCCTGGGGTCAAGCCAAGGTGGGAAGTGAGGTGATATCAAGATGGAACAGTGTGGCTCCCTGGTCCTCCAGGAGCCCTGATGAGATGCCTCATGTCTGCCAAGCCCAGAGGCCTGGATCCCCAGGCTAATGATGCTCAGCAGTGGCAGATTTTATTTAGCACACTGGGTTGGACTCATATAATTACTTAATTGATTTTGCTTCAAAATAGAGTTGGCAAGGAGCACCCACAGGATTTATTTTTGCTTTGGCTGCTTAATAAAGCCCTGGAACATAAGGGGAAAGAGATAATACGATAGCCTGGAGTCACCTGGACCTGGACTCCCCCAGGTCTCAATAGGCTGCTATGGCCCACACTGGTGGCCATGGTGGGTGAGGTACTGTTGTGACATCAGGCAATTTTCGGAGCACAGTGAGTTGGAAGATTGATGTGCCTCTCTTTCCAAGACAGGAGCCTTGAACAATGCTTGGGGGCCTATGCAGGAGAGAGGAGTAATTTGTGGTGGGTTCTGGCTACTCTGGGACATTAGGATTCAGGTTACACCACATTCACTGTGTCTGTGGCCTAGCTTAAAGGTACGGAGAGGGCAGTCATGGTGGAAGAGGGAAAGAGGGGAGAAGGGGTAATGGAAGGAAAAAGAAGAGAAGGAAGGAAAAACAAGATGAAGGGGAATGGGAGAGGGAGTTCTTCACTGGGTGTCCTGGCCTTAGTTGATTCCTCCATAATGTTGAGGTGGAACGGGACATACGTATCTGTACTTTCTGGGTTCAAGTCACATGTCCTCAGGGATTTCAAGTGCTCAAGATACAAATGTCCACTTGGTGACTTGATCCTCAGGATCTGTTTCGCCCTCATCTGTAGGGGCTCCATCCTGCTCCCTCTCTGCTATGTTCACCAATCCTTCCTTCTCTTTAACCTTTGCTTTGAAGATTTACATGTGTTCCAATCACACATTACTCAGCTTGCCAATGGGGTCCTGTAGTGCTCTAGTCTTCTCAGCCTTCTTTGTGCAGACATGGAGCATACATGCTAATTTGGGGAATGACAGGGAGATGGAGATGGGAGATGTCTGAATCCTCTATCCCTTCATTCATTTATTTTTGGTCTTTTTTTTAAATTTTTATTTATTTATTTATTTATTTTCAACAAATAATACACTGCATATATTCTTCTTAGTGGTTAATTGCTGTACAAGATGCGGACTTGTGATACTATTTACAAACACCATTAGAACAAATCATTCTATTCATTAACAGAATGTAACTATATATCTATCCCAACCACTTTGAATACACAGATACAAAATGGACATTCATCGGTATACCCCATTTGTTCTAAGTTCCGTTATTGAATATTATAGGTGTGTAAACTCAGCAAAATATTCTAAAAGAGTCCAGTAGCCCATAATAGCATTGGGTCTTCTGTTTAACTGGCAATGTCAGAAATTATTGACCTGAGTCCCCCACAGCTCAACTTAACAGCATGGCTTTATTTCTTATATTTCGTCTTCATACTTTTCTGCTGGATGGTTAAGACCAAGGTAAAGCAGGACCTATGCAACAAGAGTTGTAGCTTTTGGGTCTGATAAGGTCAATGAAATCCCCTCAGGATTTGTCCTGAGATCCTGCACCTCAGATTGTAGAACCTTTATCAGTGCAGCCATGTGGATGAGTCACGGCCAATGCATGGCCAATGTGCTCTCTGTGAAAGCCTGAGAGAGTGTCTTCTCCCCATGTGACTCTCCTTAGGCCCACTCTATGTCATCGATCACTTTCCTCTTTGGCCCCATAATCTTCTTGATCAGAAAATTTGGGACACTACCGAGGTACATGATTTTGGTCTTTTTTGAGACAGGGTCGCACAATGTAATTCAGACTGGCCTTTGAGATCACTTTGGAACTCAGGCTGGTCTCTAACTCACAATGATCCTTTTGCCTCAGCATCCTGAGTGCTGGGATTACAAATATATATCACTATGGGCTGGCCAAATAGCTCAGCAGATTAAAGTGCCTGCAAGCAGGCACAGGGGATGGGGGTTCACTCCCTGGGCCTACTATGCTGGCCCCATCCCCACGGAGCACAGAGATGACAATTGAGACTAGGTGTGGTGGTGCATGCCTGTAATCCCAGCTCTTGGGTGGCTGTAAACAGGCGGATCACTAAAGAGTCCGATCTAGTAGTGTGATCCTTTACACCCTGTAGACCCTTCCCTAAACTACAAAATAAATAAATAAATAAATAAACAAACAAACAAGTAAATATGCATCACTATGTCCAGCTCTATCCCTTCTTTTCCTCAAAGAACTCTAGGAGTGCCTGACATCCTGCTGATTTCCCTACTTATTTTGGGCCTACTGTCTTCACTCAGCTGTGCCTTCTCTTCTTCTTCCATTCTCTCTCTTTCCCTCTTCCTCCATGACTGCCTTTTCCATACCTAAATGCTAGGTCACAGACATAATGAAGCCCCTATTGTAACTGCACCTGTGCCTCAGTACATACATACTAAGGTCTCTGACAGCCCAGCCCACTATGGCCTACAAAAATGTATGAGTACCTGATAACTCCATCTATCCTTGTCCCACTGGAATACCATCAACTTCTGCAGATTCCTGAGGCAATTTAGGCCAGGATCCGTGATTGCTGAGCACACCTTTCTGCCCTCTGCCCACCTCTTCTCATCTGTATATCTGGAGCAGATAGCTCACTGCATGTAAGCTGAGGCAGCAAGAAAAACTATGGGCTGCTCAGACCCTCCCCCCATGGGCAGCTGCATGGCACGGGCTGTCAAACATTACCTGTTCATCAACATGACCCCAACTCCATAGTGGATATTCTGCTGTCTCAACCTGAACCATGTGTCCCTAGAACACCTGAGAGGTGTCCAGGGGCAGCAAACAGGTATTTATTTTGCATTCTTTGTGGTTCTGGGAACACAGCAGGTGTTACTCAGAACTGGAGTTTTGAGCAGAGTCTGTATCATTTCCCTTAGGCAGCTTCCCCCATCATTGTGAGTCTTCTACATGAAAGATGTGGAGTTGCAGGGCCACTTAAATGTGAAGACAGCTCAATTTCACCAGCAACTCATTCTTTGGATTTTCAGAAAACCATTACTTACTTCCTGCTCCCATCAAGTAGACAAAAGATATTTATGGAGCCCTTGCTTTGAATGTAAACTATTGTACTAGGGAAAGAAATTTCTTTAAGGATCAAGACAATTCTGACTTAATCAATATGTGTTTCTTCTCCTTCCATTGTACAGGACCTCTCTTCGAGCCACACACTCCTCTCCACTCACTGCCTCTCACTCACAGCACTGGAATTCCTCCCACTTTAACCCCTTTAGAGCTCTAGTCACTGCAAGGAGCTCCACAGCAAGATTGTAACAGCCAAGCTGATCCTGGCCAAGTACTGAAGACAGGGGACTGAGGATGTACTTACTGCTTCTGTTTCTCCAACTGCTACCTGCTCAGAAAATCGAACCTTCACAGGGTTGGACCTCAGCTTGGCCTTCTTCGCAGCACTAATGAAGGCTGATTTAGGGGACTAGAAAAAGAACAGAGGGCTGATGAGTTCTCCATCGCTGGGGAGAAATCTGGTCTTTGTCACATTAGAGTTAAGATGTCCCAGAACAGGTGCACTTTCCCTTACTGATCAAGGAATAAGCAAGTAAATATTGATTACTTACTAAGGGCAAGTCAACCTGCAGAATATGTTACTACATGATTGGTGTATTGTAAAAAATCTGGGCATGAATCAAATGGGGGTAAACTGAATCCCATTATGAATGCTCAAGGTCTAAAATTCTTTAGTAATAATATACATCAAATTTTTATTTATTTGGTTTTCTTAGGAGGAGGCATACCTGAGGGTGAGATCTATTGCATTTGAGTATAAGTATTCCAAAGGATTTAGATAAATTATGTCATTCATCTCACAGATATACTCTGCCCTTAGGAAGGAGGCTCATAATGAATATGTTAGATGTGGGAGAAAGAGGATCCAGCACTCTCAAAATGCCTCATGGGAGAAGAAAGATGAGAGATTTAACTAAAGTCTCCTGGCTTTCTACCTCCGGGCTCTGCAACACTTTGTTTACGCAATTCTGTAAGAAATGCCCAAAGAATAAGCCAAGCTCTATAACTGTTGAAAATGCTCTCAAAAATTCAGCAGAAAGTATGATTAGTAAATGTTGGAAACTATAGCCAACTCTGTATCTACAGGTTCCGCATCCTTGGATTCAACCAGCTGCAGATCAAATATATTTTAAAGAAAACTGCATCTTTATTGAGCGTGTACAAGTTTCTTTCCTCTCTTTATTCCCTAAACAAAGTAACAATCATTTACATTTTATTAGGTATTATAAATAATGTAGAGATGATTTAAAATACATGGAATGATGTGGGTAGGTTTCATTCAAATATTATGCCATGTTGTAGAAAAGACTTGCACATTTGTAGATTTGGATATCTATGGGGGGCCTGGAACCAATCCCTCCTGGATATGAAGGGAAGTGTACTTTAGATTTCAGCTCTTTGTTGTGCTCCTCAAAGCCTAGCAGCTAGGGAATGAGAAGTCACAGTGGGTGGCACCTCCACTTCTCTGAGGGGCATTTATTTATTTATTTGTCAAATTCAAGTAGTGCTTACTGTGTGCCTAGCACTACTCTGTGTGATAGGGAATATAGCAGTGAACAAGACAGACAGAACTCTCTGACCTCATGTAGCATTCATTCTAACAGGGACAGACAGACAATAAACACATGGTTTTTAGGTAACAAATAAAGACTACCTTTTCAGCTATCCATAGTCAAACACGGTTTCAAAATGTCAAATGGAAAATTCCAGAAATATTCAATTTCTGTGTTTTGAAAAAAAATTTTTTACAGCACAGTGTTATAATTATTCTATTTTATTATTAGTTACTGGTACTCTTAGTGTGCCTGATTTATAACTTCTTTGAGAGTATGTATAGGAAAAAACTCCATGGCATATATAGGCATTCTTAGGGTTCATACTGCTTGTTGTTTCAGGTACCTACTGTAAGTCTTAGAACATATTCCCTGTGGGGTAAGGGGGCACATAAGAGAATGAGTAAGTAAAGATGGAAGTGGTGAGGACGTTATTTTACCAGTTTGGAAATCTATGATGATACTTATTCACGACAGTCATCCTGTTGTGCAACATAGCTCAAACAGTGAAATTTTGTCGAAGTGAACCTTTGTATTTTTTCAGCAGCACCTTCTCATTCCTTCTTTATGCCCTGCAACCTCTGATAACCACCATTTTACTCTGCTTTGGTGAGTCTGATGGGTTTACATTGCACATATAAGTGACATTATCTTTTAGCACCTGGCTTATTTTACATAACACAATGTCTTCTAGGTTTATCCATGTTGCTGTAACAGAAGAAATCCCTTTTACAGGGACGGTTACCAGGGATTGAACCCAGAGCCCTCACACTGAGGTATCTCTTTAGCTCCTTGTAAAAATTTCAAATTTTGATAGAAGTTTTTGGCAAGTCACTAAGGTATTGCAGGCTGGGCTCAAACCTGGGATCTTTTTGTCTCAGTCTCTGAGGTTGGTGAGACTAGAAGCATGTGTCACCATTCCCAGCTAGAATTCCATTTTTTAAAGGCTGAATATTGTTCATTTGTGTATACATGCCACATTTTATTCATTTATTTGTTAAGCATTGAGATTGAGCACACATCTTAGATGTATACACCTCTAACCTACTAATTTCAATTCCTTTGGGTGTATTCATAGAAGTGAGGGGTAAGGGGGATAATATATGTTGAATTTTTATTTATTTGGTTTTCATAGGAGGTATACTTGAGGGTGAGTTGTATAACATCTGAGTGGGACTTGGAGGGCATATTTTATTTTATTTGTTTCATTTTATTTTTGGTGGTACTAGGCATTGAACTCAGGACCCTGAGCTTGCCAGGCAGGTGCTTATTCAACTGAGCTATCTCCCCAGCCCAGAGGGCATATTTTATTTTATTTGTTTCATTTTATTTTTGGTGGTACTAGGCATTGAACTCAGGACCCTGAGCTTGCCAGGCAGGTGCTTATTCAACTGAGCTATCTCCCCAGCCCAGAGGGCATATTTTATTTTTTATCTTTTTATTTTTTTCATATTTTATTTTTTAATGTATTTAGTACAGTGTCTACAGGGTTTCATTACACAGATCGGAGTTGCAGTGATATTCCTGTTTCCAGCCTCCCAAGTACTGGGATTACAGGTGTGCACTACCATGACCAGTCTCAATCACTGTCTCAGTGTACCACAAGGGCAGAGCCGGCATAGCACCCTGGGGATTGAACCCTGGTTCCTGCCTCTGCCTAAGCAGCCATCTTAATCCACTGGAGGGTGTATTTTAGACAGTACTGAAAGGTTGAACATAGCCCATGGAAAATGCTAGGCAAGTCTTCTACCACTGAGCTATGTCCCTGGGCCTTTTTACTTTTTATTTGGACATAGGATCTCACTAAGTTGCCCAGGTTCTTCTAGAACTTGAAACCTCTTTGCTTCAGCCTCCTGAATGGCTAGGATTATAGATAGAGGGGCCATTTAAGCAGAGACCTGGAGGAAGTGAAAGACAGGCAGTCATGAGGCTATCTGGAGAAAGATATTTTCAGGCATAAAGAACAGTAAAAGCTCTCAGGTGGGAATAGGATTAAGAAACAGCAAGAAACCTTAATAAAACTGAAATAGAGTGATGGAGGAATCTGAGAAGTGTTCAGAGAGACAGCTGGGGACTGGGTCATGTAGGATCTTGTCAGCTCTGGTGAGAATTTCATTCTGCTGGAGGTTTTTGAGCAGATAGAGTCTGAAGTAAATTTAAAAGTATATCTCTGGTGCTATGGAGAAAATAGCAAGCAAGGGACAACAACAACAGCAGGAAGACCAGTTAGGTACATATCTAACTGCAATATTCGTAACTGCAATAATACAGTTAAAATATGATGGAGGCCTTGCCTATGGTACTAATAATGGAGATGATGGAAAGTGAATGAATTCTGGGTATATTTTGTACACTGAACCAAGATCATATGTTGATGGGTTGCATGTGGGGAGCGAGAAAGCAATGAGTCAACTGGAAGAGTCAGGCTGTCATTTACTGAGACAAGAACAGGAAGGCAAATCAAGTTTGGGGCCACTTGATACCATCTCCATGGGCCCTGTGTCCTACAATTAGGAATTCATCTGTGTTAAGAGCCACAAAGGTCTCTGCTGACTGGAAAGGCAATGTATTAAGCTACTATATGCCATTTTCGTTGTGGTTGAGATTCATTTACCACCAGCAATAGGGGGAGCCCTAAGATAAAGACACAGCAGAAACAAACATCCTCCTGATGTCATAGGCCATTTGCCCAGCAGCGTCTTCTGTCAAAGCCAGCAATCTTATTCCCTACACAGGGCAAATTGCAAAAGGCCCTTGTTCCAACTCATCCAGCAGGAACTCAAGCAGTGGGTCTTGGTCCTGAAGAAGGACCAAGGTATACTTGGGGAGTGTTATGTCTTGTATCCCAAACCCGCATTTGGTTATAGGTGGGGCTTTTGGGAGGTGGCTGGATCTAGGTTGTGTAATGCTGGGTTTAAGGATGTGATTGCTGGAATTAATGGTGATAAGATTAAGCGAATGCCACCCTGGATGTTAGTGCTACTCATCCTATGGGGAGATAGCTCTGATATTATGTAACAGACAAAGAGGGCTTCTGTGGTCACTTGCAACTACTACTGTTGTTTGTTGTTGTTTGCTCCTTCAATACTTTGCTGTTTTCTGCCCACCATGAACTGTTTCTCCACTTCAATGCCCCTCTGCTATGCAACTGTGCCTTAGAGACAGCCAACTATGAACTGAATATTTACAAACTGAGCCAATTAAACCTTTCTTCCTTTAACTTTCAGTGTTGGGTATTTTGTCTCAACAGCAAGGAAAGTAGAATTAAGACAGAGAGCTTTTAAAAATCCCAAGGTCCAGGCCCCACCCAAGGTCAATTATATCAGAAGTCTTGGGGTTCAGATCCAAGTATCAGTATCTGTTAAAAGTTTCTGATCATTTCAAAGTTCAGGCAAGATTGAGAACCACTGAGCTAAAGGAATCTTAGGCTTATCCTGAGCTACTGGGGCAATTTGTTGGCAGCAGATGATATAGAATAACAAAATCCAGGGCTCGGGGCTGGAGAGATGGCTCAGTGGTCTAAAGCACCTACTTAGAACAAGCTTGGCAAAGCATCAGGGACCACGGTTCAATCCCCCAGCACCACATGCCAGCCAGCCCAGGCCCCCTGGTGGGCTGAGCTGGCCACACACACACACCACTCTCTCTCTCTCTCTCTCTCTCTCTCTCTCTCTCTCTCTCTCTCAAATAAATAAAAAAAATTTTGAAAAAAAAAAACAACAACAAAATCCAGGGATCATTTGCAGAAAGTGATCATAGAGTCAATAAATGCCTTTGTGTGTTACACAGCTGGGTGCTCAAATCCCGGGCAGGGGCTGCAGCTGAAGCAAAGGGATGGGGCAAGATAGGAAGCTCT